AGCACCTTGGGGAACTCATTCAGCACAACAAAAGCAAACTTGAAATAGTTCAACTGTTCGTTCATAAACGGCTGTAGAGCCATTACTGATAGCGATAAACTAATCTTAGTAAAAAGTGTCTATATTGCCAGGACGACAGTACTGCCCCTGATAAAAGAACAAGAGAGAACAGTTATTATTGAAAGGTGGCCTTGGTGGCGATTAAAAAATTGAAAAATTAAGACGAAATCCGATAGGAAATCAAGCAATTTTAATTTTTAATGGACAAAACCTGGTACCATAGTAACTTTAAGTATGTTACAGTCCTTTTTACATTTTCTAAAACAGTTGTCTGAGACAACACCAAATACAATTTCCCAAAGTTCAGAGCCGAATTGTGCAAACACAGGTAAAATTTCATCATCAGTTTCATTTCAACAGTACTTTTGACAGTGCTTTCATATGAACTTTGAAATTTTGGCGTTGTTTAGTAGAAATGATTCATTTTGAGAAGATGGAACAGAAGTTTGCAATACAATGTAAATAATTTCGGTTTAAAGTTTTTGTCCCCTTGTTACTCGAACTTGTGGTGGGTTCCTTCTTATGCTTATAAAAAATCAAACTCGGGTAAAACGCTCTTTGAAATCATGGATGGATGGTTTTTAAGGAAAAATCACAAAGTGTGACCACAATAGCTTGAATGCTGTTTTCATAAGAAAAGATTCAAATCAGCGTGGGGCCCCAGGCTAAATACATGTCGGACTACAAAAGCTCTTAGTTGTATACAAATGTCTAAAATTATTTTTCAGTCCTGGCAAGATTTTTCTTGTTCTTGATGCACTTTTCCCAGCAAAATAGACAAAGCTATGTCTTTAACCATGCAACACAATTACAATAGAGTACCCTTAATTAATGGCGTTTCGAAATACCAGCAACAGTCATAACTTTATGCATGACAAAGACATCTAAAATCGTTGGTTTTCTATCGCGTTAATTGCCGATAATTCGAAATAAAAAGAATAAAAAAGAGTCTAGACTTATTAACATTATTGCAGAAGATAATGGTCGATTTTAATGCAGCAGATTGTCTTTGCTCAGTTTCGAATACGGTCTCGCGGGCCGTTTTCATCTATGGATGCTTATGGTATTTCACAGTTAGA